CGGAGATTCGAACCCGCGACCCTCAGATTGAGCTCCCTAACCACCTGGCCTTAGCAATAAGTGAAAGGAATAATTACGTAATAAAACTATCGGTGAAAAACACTACATAATAAAACTACTTGTGTGAATAAATACATAAATTTATCTTTGAGCTTATATTTATTTGTAGTTCATCTGAACAAGAAACGTGCTAACATATGAATAATATTTAAGTAATTCGGCTAAACAAACCAATGCTCTTTTTAATGTTGAAACATTGCACTGTCATGATACAACTAGATGAAATGCATAAACAGAGCTAAGTTTCACAGTGGATTGATTGCGGTATATTCTGGAACGTTAGCATCCGTAAACGAAACTATACAACCATCAACTTCAACGCGTGGTTGTTATAACACTACATATTCAGAATGTATTGAACAGACCTGTACAAATTCAAATTTAATACCTTAATAAATATTTTTCACTGTTGAATGAATTTTGAAATACTTTGAACGTCCTTAATGTAGGTAGGGTAAGTAGAAAGATTAAGTGTCTGCTTTTAACAGTTTTTAATAATTTTTTTAACAATGCCTCGGCATCGCATAAAAAGACAGGTTTCAGTTCATTGCTTTTATACGACTTTCTAAATATATTACTATCATACGGAGACTAATACACATATTTACACTTATAGTACACACAACACTAATGATATGGATGAAACAAATCGTTCCTTAATGGTAAAAAAAATAAGATAACGTATTATTTCACTATACTGAATTTTCAAAAATATATTCTGTTTCTTAAACATCGCAACATAGGCATGATTAAATGAAACATTTAAGTAATTATGACGGACATGAAACGTCACCATAAGTTCTTGTCCAAATTGAAGTAAACCTCATTATACCTATAAAATGGTCATGTTTAGTATGAATATAATCAACTGATACAGACCAATCCCTATTCCGACATATATATCTAGAAGTGAACATGATTGTATTATCTCGCTACAATTAAAGGGGCAAGATCTAGCTAGCCCATAAGAAGGGTTTTGAATTGGGGATGCGGCTTTCTCGAAGGGAAGGGACATTATCTACTCTAATTCTGTGGCCCCATAATTTCCATATAAATAACAAGTATGCATACCAAGGTCATTAAAAAGAAAAATATAAAGCGAAAATGGTGCTCAGTGAAATCGGATTATATAGTATTCGTAATACTTTTTAAAGTAACATGACGTAACGTAATTACAGAACTACAGTTCGGGACAAAACGATTAAATGTAAAATGTATTTTCTGATATTACTAGAAAGTAATTAACTAATGTAATTGACACCACGGCCCCTTGATATTATGTTTACATACTTATTTAATATTATTATTTTGGAGCGAAATTTAACTAACTAATCGTATTGCTTTACTATCTGGGGCTCATTTGTAGATTTAATATCAGGGGATACAAAGGGCCCTTACAAAAACAAAACAAAAAACGACGAGGCACATGCCTTATTGTAACTACGGCACTGGTATTATAGATTTTATGCCTATAAAACGTTTGCTATTATCTTTTGAATTTTAAAGGAGAATTTATATATTCTGCCATTTAGTGTACAGGAACCCTTCTCAAGATAATTAGAGGCCTTTCTGGTGATAGTCAGGGCCCACTCTGATGATATATAAGGGCCCTGTCAGTAATAAAAGGAGCCCTTAAGTATGATTAGAGGAGCCAGCCCTGACTATTATTAATATATTTTAGCTCATTTTTCACATCGAATTTTTCTGTGGAGGAGCATTCATCAATAATATTCGAATTTTGCTGTTGACTGAGTAATTTTTGTTAGAGTTGGATAGTTTTTCATCTATTCATTAAATGTTTAAAACCGCGGGAGCCTCCTTTGAAAAAGAAGGTAGTGCGACCATACTCAACGCACTACCCCTTCTGACAGTCCTGCCTAGTTTCAAACTTACGCGACGTCGTTGAAGTGCTATTTGCCGCCAAACTTTAGAGGCAGAAAGTCACTCTAAAATAACTAAACCATCGTGGCAGCTTACTCTAATTATTCAATCAGTGCCATCACTGAAAGAGAATAACCTCGTTTTTGTCAAATATATCTACAGGCAAGAATAAACCTTGACATCATGGTTCACATTTATAATACTGAGTCATTAACATTGATTTTTTTAATTTTTCACATTTATAATACTGAGTCATTAACATTGATTTTTTTAATTTTTGACCTATGTTCATGTGCATTATGTTTATTGAAAATTGTGTCTCGTAAATAACTTTAAATTGAACAATGTTCGTCAAGGCTGATACACTACCTAAAGACTGAATATATATTATAGTATTAACATGAACTACTGCATTATCAACAATACTGCACCTGTAGCCCAGGTCTAAGATTATAACGTTTTGTATTTAAAATTTAGAACATGAACACACAACCACGTGTTTTGGACAGACACGTGTCTCTGTGGCCTTTGACTGCAAGACTTGTTTGAAAATATTATGTGGCTGCCAACGTAACACCGTTAATAAACTGCATTTAATAAACTGATCGGAGCATAAGCTTTCTATGAATAACTTGTTTGAATACAAAAAAATATTGCATAAGATATCTCATACATATATATATATATATGTGTGTGTATGTTCATATTCTTAATTTTAACTACAAAACGTTATAACCTTAGAGCTGAACTGCAGGTGCAGTATTGTTAAGAACGCAGTGACTCATGTTAATACTATAATACTGAGAATACAAGTGTTTTGCTTCGTAAAATATTTCCTTTTTTGGCAAATGAACACAAAATTATAACGTGTTATTCTGTAAGAGTGAAAGAGTTGTGGGGAATAAATAACTATATATTTCCAAACCATACTTTTAAAAGTTGTTCAGCCATCTACTTTTGTTATCAGTAATGTTATGTTACATGAAACTCGTGCACTTAAGTTTGACTGTGTATAAAATAACATATTAAATCTGCATGCAAAAGACAGAGATGAAAGTGCCCAGTCACCTCGGACTTTGGTCACAGACAAGAGTGTGGGAGCAAGAGGAGCACTGGGAATGTTTTCTCCTACCCAGTAAAGTTGTACACACGTAATGTAACACACCACAAGATACCGGTGGCCTCATTCCAAGGTCGAATTGTGTGCATGGGGCCATATATGATATATCTGGTGTCTACTGAAGCTTTCGTACAAGTGGAGTTCGCCTGCCGAGATATAAAAAGCCATACAACAAATCTGCAGTGCTACCAGTTTAGGCCTAATAGTAATACACACTTTGTCTGGCAAAGACCTACATTCTCACACTCGGATCAAAACTGCGAGATGTTCGAAATGACGATTGAAGTTCAACTCTGTATAGTAAAGTATTAAAAAGGGAATAGAAATAAAAAGTACAAATTACATGTTATTGATGATGAAGTAATAAATATTAATTACAAAAAACAATAAAATGTTCTACTCATAAAATAAGAATATTCTTGAACTGCTCCCTAACATTTGAAAACATCCCAAGCTAAGAATGGGGTTATATGATTGTTACACCATGCTTATAATAATTCTTAATCTATCTGGCTTCTTGAACCAAACCATATTGGAACCAGTGTAACAGAGATACACTCACTAGTGTCTGAGATCTCCCACTCCCAGTACGTGTTGAGTGTATGATGCTTTATCGTAGGTATCGAACATAAATAAACTTATAATTATTTTACAGATACTTCTATTTGTAGAATAATGAAAATCTAAAGATCTACAATGATTATGATATATATATATTTATGTTATCATAATAGGATGTGACACGTAGAGTGAAATATAACGTCAGATCTACACATAAAGAGAACAATATAACTACCCCCACAAAGCGAAAAGTAAATGCAACTCATTACGTCTCAGCTTGTAGAATAAATGTGCATCTGAGACTTTCTTTAAATATTACCACCACAAGTTAGAACGCACTATAAAAATAATTGAAAAACAGAAAAACACACATGGTACCAACAGTACCGTATTAACACATGTCGTGATGGAGCTGCAGCCCCAGTGTCTAAAGGCTCTTGAGGGTCACTAAACTTGGAGAGTTTTGAAAAATACATACGATTCCATCAATGGGTCCCTAAAAATGCATTAGACTCTGGGTCTCCAATAGGCTTAATCCAGCCGTGGCTACCAAAATAGAGACACTTCTAAAACAATGCATACAAGTGAAAAACGAATACTTTTATCAGACCAACTGCTATTATGTTGAGAAACAGCCAACCAAAAAATAATCACATTTGTTCTCGCAAAGATGGCATGTTTTGAAATTAGCGTCGAACATTTATGGTTTAAAATTTCACGCACATTAAATCGTTGGATTATAATCAGTTTATGAACAGTAATAAACCTTTCACATATGTGGGTGTTGTGTAAAACATTCTCTGCAAGCACACTAATAAACTCACGAACGTTTTCTAATACGCTTTTGTTGTTAGTCTTCGAAAAAAGCAACAAACATATGCACAAACATGGCACTTCCATCTTTCCCTCAACTTCTGCTAACCGTGCACCAAAGATAACGGAAGACTGTTCAATGAGGTAACATAAACTATATATTTTTATTAGTTTTGCTAAACATTTCCGCTAATGTTAATAAGATCAGAATATATTTCCAGCCCACCCTTTTTAAAATCAAATATTATTACAATCTACAGATCTTAAACACAACGTGTTAAAATGTAGTTCTATCAAATTTTATCTTTCGACATTCACTAGATTGCAACCATTCTGATTACAATAAAATTACTAGTTCAAAAACAAAGATAAAAAAACTAGTATTGTAGCAGTTCTGACAATAATGTTTCAATTAAAATCGATGTTTATATTTTTAGATATATCGCAGCATATTTCCATTCATTGTGGTTTGAATTGCAGTAGGTTTGTAAACTTTCAGGGAAGGAGCCTTAATGAGGTTTCTTGAAAAGAAAAATGAATCAAAAGCAAAAGAAGGGACACTTACCAGAAATCGCTGCAGGGGTGAGAGATTCCTGAAGACGGGATGAGTGACCGATTTTGGGGCTTGGGAAACTATGAGACACCAGTAGTTGGCCATTTTTTTCCTGCAGAAGAAGGGGAACACCATATCCTATATGAAACAGAAATCGCCATCAAGGCCACACACACACTCACACATTACGAAACAAGCTACTATATAACAACGTTAACGTAACCTTAATGAATTTATAATATGAACTTCGGCTCTTACTAAGCGTCAGCACCTCATAGAATACGTAAGGCCTACCTCTTCCCCCTCGGTGACTAAACTCGACTTCAAATCAGTCAAGTTTTCTGAGGAGCGGTTTTCTTCCTCTCCCTCATCCTTAAACACTTTTATCTCATCAGAAGAAGCTAAATCGTCGCCGCCGCCGCCGCCACCAACATGCGGCATCCTTCAAAGTCTTAATAGACTATCGTACAGTGTTTTAAATTCCTAAGTGAACCAAGCAATCTCACCGCTTGCTTTGACTAAGACCTCGCCGACACGAGCGGACCCCATCCCACTGAAGCGCTTAACTTTTCAGGCAAATCAGCTTGCACGGTGGAATAAAAGACTTTATTTATCAGCCAATCAGAGAACACACCATTCTCAGTTGAGTTACTATGCCATGGCGAAAATATTGAGTGAGGCGTTCTCCTTGCGTGACTGCGCGTAAACGTTTGCTTTCGCCGCTAGCCCTAACAGGTTCCATAACCTGGGTATCAACATGTCTTACGGCAACAAGGTTCGCCACCTTACTTGAACAATTGCCCATCGATATAATCGTTTCGAATCTCGAACGCGTGTCCAAGTAAAACTTTCGTAAAGAAGCTCTCCAAATTTCTCTATTATTTAATATCAAACCTTTCAATCATAATAACATACTTGTTCTGGTCTTACAAAATCAAGAGAAAATTTCCAAGCAGAGACTAAACAAACAGTAGCTATATTTGAATTCTGTGAATGCTATAGCGACCGAATGTGTGGTTCTCTTTCATATTTGTCTGCATAAATCGACTATTGACAATAATTCACTTGAATTAATAATGTTTAATGTATAATAGATAATAATTAATGTATAATTTAATATATGGTATCTAATGTATAACACAGCAGGTGAATTAGAAAAGGCAGGAATTTTGGAATCATAAATTTCCTTGTTACTTAGAAAGTGGAAAGAACGGACCTCACTTAAATTGAATTGAATTAGGAATTATTACTAGAAAAACCTTATGGGAGCTAGAAGAGATTGTGCCAATACTGGTACCAAGCTATTCAAGGGTGTAATATTTGTAAAAGTCATAATATTAAAATATTTTTCTTTACATTGGGTATTTGGTATTAAAATATAAGCGAACAAATAAATATAACAGAGATACGTAATAACAACTTAATAATAAGGTATACAATAAAAGTGGCTGCTGCTAACTAGTCACCTTTCCGTGGTCAGTGGATCGAAATTAGGGATGGTGCCACAATACTGACAAATGTGATGTGCTGCGACATGACTCCTTAATTAAAAGGAGGAGAGCCTGTGTATTGGTTGGTGCTAAATTCCTTTAGTATGTAAACCACTTAAAGATCCAATGCTTAGCAAAAATACCATTTACAGTATCATCTGTAAATGTGGATTCTAAATACATTGCAAAAAAAGAAAAAACACCAATAAAATTTAGAATTTATGAGCATAAGGGACATACAAGACTCGGTAATGCCGTTATATCTGCAACAATCAATCATGTCAGAGAAGGAGACCATATAACAAATTGAAATAGTACTGAATTAAATAAATATCACACACTCAAATAAAAGAAAGACGAAAAGAATGACTCCTATTTCTACCTAACTGACAACACACTCAGCCATCTAGCACAGAAATCAACACCAGTCTCTCTATCAAGGAGACCTAGGATTGCATCCAAACACTCCCACCACAGAAATAGTCCTTATCAGAACTTCGCTGAAGGCAGAAGCAAATAAGAAGCCAAAGCTAGAATAATTAGTAGATGGTAATAAAAATAAGTTAGCAAGTATGTAATAATTAGATTTAAGTGGTTTTATAAGATACTTACCATGTCAATAAAAGACTAGGAATATATATTAATGTGTGGAGGAATTTATAGTGTTATGTGATGGAAATGTTCTGAAGATATGAAAGCATTTCCAGCGGCAGCAGATGTTGGACTCTATAATAACAAGCACAGGAGCTAATTATCATATAATTATATATATACTACCTAACTTATAACGGTGACATAACAATTCCACACAGCCTTACCAAAAGATACTCCGTAACCCAGTTACTTTAAAATTAAGAATCCAATCAATGTTTTAAACTTCACAGGTGTTGCTTCTGTTGAAGGTTTCATTCTCCAAGGAATGATATACTTAAAGATACACGTCCACAGATACCTACGTGACGTCAACAAATTGCATTTCACAAGGGAGAACAAATAATTCTCACTTAATAGGAAAAAAATCATCAACATTTAAAACAATCTTTTATTAGTAAAGGAAGTGTGAGAACTCTATAAAATAAAATATCGAAAAATATCTCTCTATCTGATATCAAGTATAATATACTACACTTATTTACTACGTGGAACAACTGAATAGAGTTCAAAACCCTTTTACAGAAACATCATATTATAAGCAAAAACATGTAAAAGCAAAATGTATAACATAGTATTTTACAACTACAACATATAAATCTAAATCCAGATATAAAATCAAAAAACAGCGTAACGCAAAATCTTTCAATCTGACACAATAAAGCACAAAGTATTTCTATAACAGTGAGTTCCATCATATTCTATAGCCCAGTACAGTTTGAGCCCCGGTATAAAATAACAATTAGAAACAAGAGTTGTTAACAGAGAATCTAAACATATACCATATACCATTTTAAAACAAACAGCTGAGTAACACATGTAGTTGCCCTATCATTCATTTCACACTCACTAGTCTACCACTATATGGGGAGCATATTTAAAGTAGGTAAGTAAAGAAACTAGTAATCAAATGAATTGTAAATACTATTACAAACTAAGCTTAACAATTCTGTACATTATTCTATGGTAATGTTTTATCATCAATATCCGACACCAAGTAGGTCTAGGCCCTGTTTATATAGAAAGCTGTCCATCTTTTCCTGTTTTCACAGACCCTCTATTTATCTTACTTCTATGTTTTCTATCCATCATTTTATAGGGCATTTTGTCTCCTTTCTTTTTGCTTCCAGAGGAACCACTTTAGAGGCATCCTCTTCTCTTCTATTCGTCTCAGGTGTCCATACCATATCAACCGTTCTTCATCAATGGCCTTCTGTACAGCCTTCACACCAAGTCTGATCTAATATTATCATTTCCCATTCTGTGTCTGAGTGTGGCATCCTTGATAAGGCGAAGGACTCTCATCTCAGCTGCTTGGATTTTACTCTTCATTTTAGCATTTAAGGTTCATACCCCATTTCCAATCACCAACAGAGGTTGGGGTAACATGGTGTATATGGCATCTCTAAATGTATGTGGTTGTTCCTCGGCAGTGGGCAAATCATGCCTACGTTTCTGCTTAATTGACTTATCCTTTAATTTATTGTATGATCTTTATCTGCCCCTTGATTAAAGGGTACTTCTATATATTTGAAACTATCTGTCTGCTTTAATAGTGTGCCATTTGTCACTACCTTTGCTTGTTTTGGTGTATGTGACAACATTATTATTACTGGCTTTAGACCAAATTCCTCAAACACTTTGCGCTATATACCTATCTATAACTCTTCCTCAGTAGATGTAACAATATTAATGTCATCCACATATGCAAGTATCTCAGATCTACAATCTTACAGTTGTGCGGAATGTACATTTCCACTTCTTTCGATTCTTGAGCCATCTGCAAGATAAACAAGAATGGGAGAATATGCTACCCTGCTGTAATCCAGTGATTATTTCAAACTAGTGCCCTTTCTCTAGCTGGGGCCTCACTGTACTCAAACAAACTGTATACATATTTTTAATGCTTGATAAAGCTTGGGAGGTATGCTATACTCTGTCTTCTTTATTGCTTGCCACACACAACCTAAGACTAGGGGTTCTGTCAAACGCTTTTTCCAGATCTAGGTAAACTGAATACTTGTCCTCGTTATTCTTTCATGACGATATTTCTCTGTGGTCTAAGACCATATTTCACTCTCCCAGTTTCTTATCAGTACAGACCCTTACTTTTCATTCTAGTTTTCTTTCATATATCTTATCAAAGTGAGGTGGCAGGGATATGCCTCTATGGTTGTCACACTCCCAAAGATCACTTTTCTACTTTTAAATGGCACAAACAATTGCCTTGCTCCTGTCTGCTGGTATATCACATTGCTTCCATACTGCAGTGAAGGTTCTCTATAACCACAATATATTTCCCCACCATATTTAAAGAACTCTGCAGACAAGTCTTTATGTCCTAGGGATTTGTTACACTGACAAATTGTAGATTCTGTGCATTATTCTATGGCAATGTCCCATGTCATTGAAATGCTTAAGTTTAGGTTATATTAACTGCCAAAGCCTCCAATTCTGTTTTGAGTTTTCTTTGGTAACTGAAGAAAACAAGAACAAATAAACCTTTTTAAGAATCTAGCTCAGCAAAGAACATAAATCAACTTCAGGTAATAAATCATTTTAATAGTAAGGTATGTAGTATGTAATTCTGTATACCCTTAAACTACAGTTAGAAATGCACAAATCCGAGGCATACTTATAATAACATATAATAACATTTAAAAACATGGAAATTGGTGCATTATCATAAGACAAATTGGGATAATCTTGAACTACATAATATAGACTTGCACAAACATGTACTAGCTCACTCTGTATCCATACATTTGTTTTTCTTTTGTGCTATTCATTTGCAATGATTTCCAATAATTACGTTAAAAATATTTATGATACAAAGAAGATTCAGCAAATGTTAAGTAGAGAATAAGTGAACAAAGGAAGCAGAGGAAAATAAGCCTACACAAATTAATGAGCAAAAGTACAAATGTTTATATACCCATACCTGACTGCTGAGGTCTTCACTTAAACTGGCTAGCTCGTAAGTTATATCTAACAAACTTCTGACCACTTGAGCAAGAGAAAACATGTCTATTTAATAAGGAGACAAGACTAAAACCACTTTCAAGTCATACGTAAGATATTGTGTGGTATCAAACAATTCTATATAATCTTTGTCAATGGGTTAAGGAATAAAATGCTCAGCTAAAACTAAATTGTACAAGTCACTTTACCACTCCTTGATATCAATATTACCTCACTCCAGGAGAGCAAGCAAACGCAGAAACAGTGTCAGTCAAGTATTAGCTTTATTGAAGGTTCATTGTAGTATGTAACTTTTGAAAAGGCTAAAGCGTGGGTGCAAATTTAAGATCGTCTCTATAATTTTTATAAGGATACAAGTTAAATATTTCCAGAACACCTGCACAAACAATTGAAAAATATATTCCCGAATATA